ACATACTTTTTGTATGTATATTTTTGTTATTTTATATTGAAATCTGATATTTATCAAAGAAAGATAAAGCAGAGAAACTGAAAAGTAATAACAAAAGAAAATAGGAAAATCAAGTTTTTCGGTGGTTGTTTTTTGACTAATTATGAGTAATAGGACAAAAGTTGAAATATTTCTATTAAAAAAAGTTAAATGTTTTATGATTAGCACGTGTAAGCTTAAAAAAATAAAAGTTTTTTGAAAACAACACTTTCTATTAAAATAAGCCAAAAATGCCAAATTATAGTGAACCTCTGGAAAGATTGACAAGAGGCATGATTACGTCACCCTTCATGCTATGCTCAATTTTTTCTGGTCTGTCATGCGGGTTCGGTTCTGAGAATTTATTTTTATCTGAATAGGTATTCTATTTTGTCGGAGGCTTCTTCTAGGATTTGGGTGATAGGTGATCTTCGGTTTCATACACATATATTTTTTGCTTTTTAATTCATTAATTCAAATTTTGAAATAATTAAATTTGAAATTTTATAATATATTTATTATTAAACTTAAGAACTAGGGTTTTACAGTGTTAGAGATTTTGTGTGAATTATCAAATTAATGCATATCAAATATATTTTTTGTAAAACTCAATAACAATATCTTTATTTTGCCACTAGAATTTTGTCTAAAAAATTCAAAAAATTAAATCAGTAATCAGACGTCTAAAAAGCTAAGTATATACAACACACTATACCATTATTTCACTGGTGAAATAATTCTATTATTTTAATAGTGAACACAATAGCATCCTGTTAGCATGCTTTTCTCAAGGCTTAAGTGGCTGGAAGAGTAGTGTTTCTATAGAATGTTGACGCATAGAAGACATCTCCAAAGCAGAAAATTTAGGGAAAGGAGAATGCAATAGGAGCTCAACACTGCCACCACCACTCTTCGCCACTTCACGTTGCTATGGTGGAGGAGGCAAGATAGTCCGCATGGGGAGGGAGACAGGGTGGATTTCATGTGGACAAGAGTGTCAACTGAATAGGGTAAGGGAGTGTCATACTTCACCCCTTTTCTAGTAACTTGAATCAAGTTAAGGGAAGAAGATTCAAATGACGAATCTAAAATGTTAGAATATGGAGAAAGAGGAAAACTGGAATATAAGTTGTGATGCTAGTAGTGTCAAATAAATACATTTTTAAGAAAGAAAGTAATGATCTATGGACACTTTTATACCAATCCTTCCTTCCCCTTGCAAAATGATATTTTGGTGGATGATTTTTACTATTAACATTACAATTTTGTTTATTATTTTTAAAATTGTTTTAAACGATATATAAGTTTCTTCCTTTTGATCGAATCTATAACCTTCATTAGTGGATTCATTTTCTATGGTTTCCCTCACCAACACTAGAAGATACCAAGGAACCATATATAGCATTAAATAGGGAGCTGTGGAATACTCCAACTACACCTAACATATGAAATGAGTGCATATATATATATATATATATTACTATTTAAAACAAATCTTATTATTACAAAGTTGTAGTTTTTATTTTGAATTAAAAAGACTAAAAATAATAAAATGAAAATCTGATTACATAAGTGGAGCTAGTTAATAATTAATCACTGGCCTTAACCGTGAAGAAGGACAAGAAATTGTTCGGAGACATATTCTTCCCTACACAATTTTCATTGATTTTTGTAAAATTAAAACCCATTATCTGATTCTTCTAAAAAATCCTGAAAAATAAATAAAATATATATATTAGGATGACTTTCTAACGTGCTTTGAGTATATCTCTCTCTCTATCTTCCATCATTATTTATATATGTAAGTCTGTAGAAATTATATTTTAGTAGTTTGTAGAAATTATATTTAGTCCATGCCTTGCACTTACCATTTTTTTTTTTTTTTGGTTACTTGTACATATTTTTTATGTGAAAATATGCTGTGGTCATTTATATATATTTTTATGGGCTGAGTATATATATTTGGTTCTAATTTTTTAGTATATTGTTTAAACATAAAAATTTGAAAAAAAAGAATTTGTGAATTTTATTCTAGTTCAAATAATAATAATAATAATAATAATAATAATTATAAAATAATAATAAAGCCCAGAACAATAAATAGATTGTACCAGTGTTTTTAAAAACTAGGATCAGAACGGCTAGTTCGACTAGTTCAACTATAATAACTTTATTAAAATTTTAATTTATTTTTTAAATATATTTTATTATTAATAGGTTTCACCGGTGGTTAAATCGGTTTAAAACCGTAACCCGTTAACCTTACTTAATTTGATCATCAGTTTGGGTTTTAAAACATTGGACTATACCAAACTTATTATAAATTGCATTCAAACCTTTTAAGTTGCACTTTATCTTTTACAGAATTTAAGAATTGTGTTCAAGCCTTTCAATTCTTTAGTTGCAACAGATATTTAATAATGATTAGATCTTGGCCACAATATTTTATTTGTTATATCGGGCTCTAAACATTTGGTGCACTTTCAAATACAATAAGGACGTCTAATTAACCCATCAATAAAATTAACTTATTTATATTTATTTATTTTCATCTTCAGATGAGTAAATAATTAACATGAAGGGATTGAATGCAAATTAACATCTTAAAAAATCATAATTAGCCAAAATAATACTTAAGGTTGTTATTTGTAAACTAAAAAACAGTTTGTAGTGTAATTTGCAATTAACCCCTAAACTTGGAAGAAATTACATTTCTCTAACTTTATTATTTATTTGTAGATAGATATTCCTCAACACTATTAGTGGATGTACAATAGGGTTTATTCTAAAAGAAAGTGATTGAAATAGGAATTTATGAATGATCTAGAATTGTTTATTAATCATGCATGCTAGTAAGCATGTTGTTTGAATGATATGTTGATTAGATGTCCTTACTATAATTGCTAATATATGAAATGATTAGAGCCGGTATAGTGAAGATACAAATTGTAGAAAGAGTTTTATGACAGAATATTGGTATTGAACTCTGCAGAGAGAAGATGAGCTTGATGTGGGTGCAAATAGGGTTCATGGCAGTGCCGGTTCATCAAGTAATGTAACTATTTTTAACGATTACCTACAAAATTTAAGTAGATATCATGAGAAGGTGTATGATGCTGATGGGCCAGAGTATCGTACTCACTTTTAACACATGATAAAAGAGGCTCTGAATGTTAAGGTTGAAAAGTTTTATGAATTGTTACAAGCAGCAAACCAATTATTTATGATCAGGATCTCATCATTTTGAATTATCTATTATAAACTAGAGTAATGAGTATCAAGTCTGATTAGAACATTGCTCAACAATACATCGATTCAATAATAGAACTCATGCATAGGACAATTCTTTTAAAAAAAATTATAGAGAAAGGTAATTAGATTTTTGTTTCTTAGCAAATTATACACTAACTTTAAATAAGTTAAAAGTGTATAAGTCAAAAGAAGGTTGAAAAAAAAATTAAAAGAAAGAAAAATTTGACCATGTGAGAAACTTGTCTACAAAATGAATAAACAAATTATATTATATTTTATTTTATTTTTCTTTTTTGTCTAACTAAAGATAAATATCTGACTTCTGAGTCATGTCATGTATAGGTCAGATTCATAAACTTAATTTCTAGTCATGTGAAAAATCAAATGGCACTTAGCACTTTTGTATGATCATGGTGCTAAGATTCTTACTTGAAACACTATAATTTAGGATATTTGAGAGGAAAACAAAAATTAATAATTCTGGGTGTGAATTTTAAAGAATTTAACTGAGGATTTCTTTAGTTAGAAAAATTTAAGGTTTTTGACATTTTCATAAGTTAATGAGAATTTAGCTTTTTGGGCTTCAGAAAAAATCGAGCAAAAATGCTTGAGCTTTTTTCATACAAAAGACGTCTTATTATATTTATACACACACACACACACACACACACACACACACATATATATATATATATATTAGCAAAACTACTCAAATTATATGGTGGGGGTGGTTGTGTTCAATAAAAATGATATCATTCCGCAAATTATATCAATTTTGTGGACATATTTCTAATTTTGTTTAGTTTGGTGATAATGTAATTGAAGGACGCCATGCAAATATCCGGGGAAGAACATTGCCTTCCATGTAAATGAAGGACCAACAGACTACTTGCTTTCCCTTCTGGTGGAGTTTGAAGATGGAGATGAGGACATCGGATCCATGCACATTAGAGAGGTACATATTTTCTCTCTTATTATGATTTTTAACCTTCATCACTTGCAAAATTCGTATATCTGCTAAGAAAAGAAAAAACTACTACTCTGTTTTATAATTCCGACACCATTTCCAAGTATAGTAATTCCAAATACCTCCACCTTCTTCTAGGCACCAAACAGGCCCACATAAAAGAGAAATATGAAGAAAAATTATTTATTACTTTATTATTTTAGCAATTGGATTTGTAGTCAAAAGAAACTTTCATTCCCTTCGAAAGGTAAACTTTCTCGCATGCCCAGAAAGGAGAACAAGTCTTTCTAATTCCATGACAGACAGATTAGAAAAAAACAAGACTTTGTTTCTTAAAGTTGTCAGGATTTTTTTAATAAAAAAATTAGGAATTTATTTTTAAAATTTGCTATTTAGTAGTTTATAAAATAATACTAAATCAAACTTTTAAAATACCCAATTTCTAAAATTTGAAAAATATTAAGTTTTTTCAAGATTCAAGAAGGGTAAAAGTCTAGAATCATTGAATTGCGAAACGCCTCCTTTTTGCTAATTTAGTGAAAGCAAGGGCAGCTCGGCTCTAAAGAAGTTCCAAGGCCTAAAAAGTTATTTTCAGAAACAAAAAAGCAGCTTATTTCGTAGAGCCACAAGCCAAAACCCGAGTATTGCGGATGTCTCCTAATCACATGCACAATTCCGACAATCACTCTGTTTTTTAATTGAAAAAAAGGGGGATCAAAGTCCAAGCCATTGCCTAATCTGATAACTAGTTTCGTCAAAGGAAAATCTTATCTCCTGATACTCCACATGATTTAAGTACCCTCCGTGCCCCATTCTCAGCTGTCCACTGCAATATCTGCACACAAGCACTTTTATCAGCCTTTGCTTTTCTCAGGTTAAATCATTTTTCTACTCTCCGGCTGTAAAATACACAACACCCCCTCAACTAGTTTCTCGTATCACTTGCACCCCCTCAAGTTTAATAAGAAAAGGTTAAAAAAAAATGCTATACGAAATTTAGATTTATGAAAAATTAATTTTTTAATATAACTCATTTTTTTTAAAAAAATACTAAATATTATACCGGGTTTCTTTTGTTTTAGTGAAAATAATTAATTTGGGTTGAACTTAACTGGCAGGCAAGTTCCACAGAGTGGACGGAGATGAAGCACCTGTGGGGAGCAAATTGGTGCATAATAGGGGGGCCCCTGAGAGTTTGGCGACGCTTTCCACCTTAAGAACCCTCTCAGCACGGGACGTGATTCCAAGGAACTGGTCTCCTAAAGCCACCTACACCTCTCGCCTCAACTTCTACTTGATCAAAAGAGAAGAACGTGGGGGGATAAAGAAGGCGATCTGATCCCCCTTTATTGTTTACCCATCGTCCCAAAGTGACCGTTGTCTGGTTTTTTATTTTTACTTTAACTTCTTTCAGCCGTTGGAGCTCATAAAAGCAACCAACTGCCCTTTCTTTTTTATATCGTTTTCAGTTATATATATATATATATATATAGAGAGAGAGAGAGAGAGAGAGAGAGAGAGAGAGAGAGGGAGAAGGAGTTTACGGTCTAACCTCTGTATGATGGAGTTATATTTTAATGGTAGCGGTGGAGTTGTAGCAGTGGAAAGCCCTCTCCAAAGGGAGAGAGAGCCTCAGTTCTTTATGAATTCATTTATGTATGTGTAAGTCTGCGGCCATCGGGTTTTTTGCTTTTTCAACAGTCTTAGATCAATGAATGAAATCTGTGGACGTGGGTCCTAGTGTCGTTTTACACGTTTTCTAATGCCAACTCAGTGGCCGTAACACGAGGTTCATTTATTTTAAAGGTTTTTGAAATTTGTTTTTTAAAATTTTAATCTTTAATATATAAAAAAGTAATTTATTTCATTTATTAACTTCACCCTCCAAAATTTTAATATTTTTCTATTAAATAGTCAAAAATTGAATATTAGAGGCCCAATGCCTCAGCTTTTATGTAATGGCCTGATTTTGTTTTTATTTTTCTTTGGGGACTATTTTGCACTAATTGAAACATTTGGGAGGTGAAATTGAAAATTGTGGAGTAAAGTGAACAAGAAAGAGTTCATGGGGCTGGATTGAAAAAAAAAAGAGGGGGAAAGGGGACCTTCGACGGAAGCTGGTCGAAGGGTGTAGAAGCTAGGCTTGCTCCAATAGGAGCAAGCCAGCTTTTCTGACTTTTAGGGATTTAATCGTGGTTGAGATGCGAGCCAAAAGGAATAGAGGATTGAGCTTTAGAGAAAGAGTTGGAGAAGAAACTGAACTAGGAAACACCAGAGGCACCAACGAAAAATTTTTGAGAAATTTGAGATTTGAGCACGTTTTACTCCGATTAAAACCCATCAATTGTTCGTCGGCCTTGATTACACCATTTCTGGCTTCCGCGAATGAAGGTAAGTCGGATTGTCCTCGTATTTTGAGCTTTGGAAGATCCGGGTCTGTTATAGACCTGGATGACTGGTTCGGGCTCCATGGTCAGGCGAATAAGAAGAGACCCGGTTGGGCCGGGTCCCGCACAAGGGTTGGCTCGGGTTATGGGCTCGGGCTCGGCCCAGGTGGAGCTGCTAGCCTGGGGGCTTGAGCTGCGGGCCAACCCTGGAGGGGGAGGGTTGCGCGGTTCGGGTCGGGGAGCTGGGTAGAGAAGAAGGGACTCGGATGGGTCGGGGTCCTTGTGTTGGGCTGGCCTACCCTACCGGGCTTGGCTCGGGCTAGACAAGTTGCAGGCCAGCGGGCTGAACCGTGGGCCAACCTGGGAGAGACTGGGTTAAGTTGACCTGCTGGGTTGACTTGGCCCAGTGAGAAAGGGCTGGGTCAACTCAGTCGAATTGACCCAGAAGGGGAAATTGGATTAGGATATTCTGGGGGGATAAGAAATCAGAGATAAGGCTGATTGGGGGATAGTGAGGATAGCATAATCTGATATTTAGGGAGTAGGGTTTTGGGAGTTGACTAAACCGGCTAGAAACAGTTCAATGTTTGACTAACCGGTTCAGTGGTCAAACGAACTCGGATTTGGAAAATTGGAGCAGTTCTGGATTCAGGAAGAAAATACCTATCAAACCAAGTGGGTTCGGGAAATTTTGGGTGGCCAGTTTGAGGTGAATTGGTTGGTTTAGTGTGGTACCCTTTGGGTGACCAATTCACTAGTTTTTAGGTCAGTTCTCGGGAAAATCGAACCTGTTTTTGGTTTAATATGATGAAACCTAGTTGACCATGAAATTTGGTGATATTTGGGTGTCTGGTTCATAGTAAATTGGCCTCGATTTGCGTGCTGATGCTCAAGATTAAAGTTTTTGGCCTAGTTCGGCTTAATTTTTAGATATTTTTGGCCGGTTCAAGGTGGTTCCTAGGGTTTTTGGGCCTTTTAAATTTGATTTTGAGGGTTTCGTGGCCAATTGAGTTGAGTTAGAGGTAGTTTCGAACTGGGTTAAGCCAGTTTGAGGAGGTTAGGCCAGTTTGAGGGCTTTGGGGGCCGGTTCGTTATGGTTCGAGGATCGTGAAGGCGGGTTTTGTAAATTTGAGAGTAGATAAGTAGAGTATTGAATGTTAGTGGGTCACGGGGTCTCAAAGGCAGTTAGTAGTGTCTCAAGATGCGTGCTGGGAGCCAGACATGGGGGAAATGCCAGTCCGCTTCCGATGAGTGTGTCTTGTGCAAGTAAATTCAGTTTCAATTCTGACTCGTGGTTTGACGATTGTAGATACTTTAGAGGAGGTCCGCTTCGACCACTGACTTGTCTGTTTGAGACTCGATACCCGGTTTTGATGTGTCTGATGAGTGACAGTACTCTCTATACATGTGTTTGCATTCCGATTTTCTGTTAATTTTTGTGTTTTGATTTCTGAGCTATGTTATTATTTTTGGTGCATGTATCTATCTGTTTTAGAGTATGATCAGTTAAAATTATTTCTGCAATTGCATATATGTCTCTGCCTTAGTAATATGTGTGTTAATTGTTAGTAAATCAGTCATGGATTTGTATGTGATTCTGGCTTTCTGGTTTCGACTCTAGTTTTGCTCAGGGGTGCCAGGGACTCAGTCACTGAACGATTGCCCCCATACTGTGCGGGGAGTGCCCTCAGTTCGGAGGGTTGGCTGCTGTGGCGTGCGGGGAGTGCCCTGGGCCCAATGAGGTGATTTTGATTTTGATCAGTGATTCTGGCTCTGGCTCTGGCACGGGATCCCAGTGCGATACATGTGATATGTGACTCTGATTCTGATTCTAGGACACCAGGGGCTCTATTGTCAGGCAGTTGGCCACTGTCGCACGGGAAGTGCCCTGGGTCTACCTGTGACTTTGACTCTGATACGGGATGCCAGGGGCCCTGAGTTTGTACGATGAGTTGTCGTAGCATGCGGGAAGTGCCCTGGGTTCGTACGGTCGGCCGTCGTAGCGTGCGGGGAATGCCCTGGATCCACATGTGGCTCTGATTCTGATATGTGTTATGTGTTATGTTCTGATACTCTGATTTAATTCTGATTTTTTGATTATGACTGTGCATATAAGACTACATGTATTAATTTAAGTAATGTAACTTTTGTACATCGTGTGTACTATTCCAGTATGTTCGGATAGTACTATCATTCACTGAGTTATATACTCATCCATTTTTTCTCCCCACCTTTCAGATTTTAGTTTTGATCGGCAGCGGTGGTTCCTGCATTGACTTGATTGCATGAGCACTTTTTGTATATCTATTTTTTGTACTTTAGACGCTCCATGTACAATCAGATGCGTTCTGTTATTTGTATGCACACATATATGGTCTTCTGATAAGAGGTTTTATCTGTGTCGTTTTGGTCAGAGGTTTACTAGGGTTGGTACGCCAATTTTAGTGCTGGTCACGCGCCTGGGTTGGGACGTGACATTTTATCTCTTTACAATGAAGAAAGGAAATTTACTAGATAAAATTTAGTGGCGGGTGATAATAGCGTATTTGTAATGTTAGTGTTAGTTGAGATGGTAAATAATAAGAATAAGGATATAAATTTAATTTTTTAAAAGTATATTTATTTAAAAATTTAACAGTTCATATTCTTAATTTAAAAAATTAGTCTTGAATTAAAATTATTTTGAAAATATATTTGATTTAAAAAAAGAAAAACAAAAACAATGTATTATTTAGAAGCTCCGAACACGATGAACGTGCAAAGCAGCGAATGAAATAGTTTTCAAGCTGCAAGAAGAGAAGTTGATGGGTGACCGGAGCATGTCTGAGCGAGCACACGTGAAGGGCAGGGTCCCATTCAGTCCTGAATTAAATCGTTCTTATCACCCCATCTAGATGGAGCCCCTCGGCTCATCCATCAAAATGCTTTTATGGGGATCATTGTTACAATAAATTCAATTTTAATATATAATTTTGGTCTCTGAACTTTTTCAAAATTCTAAAATATAAAATATTTTAATTATTTATTAAAAAAGTTGAAATTATTTGTTATTTTTGTTCAAAAACAATACAACATAAAACATAATTAAAATAAATACGAGAAAAAGTCTCCTTAAAATACACCGTTAAACAAATTTTATGAAAAGTCACCCTTCCTCCACCACGCGGTTTGGGAATGAGGTAGCCACCACCTAGCTAGCTATCACCCATTGATGGTTCATTCTGTTTTCTTGTAAGTTATGTCCGTCCTGTTTTATTTGATGCTGCAACAACAGTAAAGTTAGCTTTATCTTCTCTTGTTTGTGTATAAACCTTCACGATCTTTGATGTCAAAATATGGGTTTAACTAATCGATCTTTAGCATTTGGTTGCCCCAGTCTCGGGGTTCGATTTTAAAGTGGCTTTAGCAAATGCTTTTACTTCTCACTTCTGAATTTTTCAATACTTTAAAATCACTCTCGACTGCTTATAAACTCACTTTAATTTTTATTTTTTAAAATTTAAATAGATAAAAATAAAAGTTTTGAAACCGAAAAGGAGGTGTTTTTAATTTTATTAATATATTTATAATTAAATATAAATTGTTATAGGATAACTTTAAACATTTTTGTTTTTAAATATTCTTTGAATTTCTACATTACCCTTGCTTTATTGCTTCTCTCTCTCTGTTATTGTTGTATGCATCAGTACCAGAACACCAGTGACCAACAATCATTGCTGGCCTGTCATCGTATTGCTGCCGTCTCTCCCCTCTGTTTGCTTCACTCCCTAATGGTTTCTGCTTTTCTTTATGATGATTTTTGCTTCTCTCTGCAACTAGCCATCCCCTATGCCAACACCCAATTGTCATCAATACCAACCATCTACTGCCAATCTCCTCGTTGATGTTTTAAGTCGCTTCTAGATCGGCGGCCCGCTCATAGCTTTCAATAAATTCAAAACATATTATG